GTTTCACCTTGTGAGTTGCCTTACTGACATAAATGAACATTTGCACGATATTCTAATTTTTTGAGTTTCACCTGCACAGTTTTACACTTTGGTAGGGTGATAGAAAGAAGTATTTTATATTCTTGTGGAGATGAAAATGATTATCTATATAAACTGATGCACTTGTTAGGCAATAGGTCATGATGCTTCTATGTTATCCTATGATTTTGGCATTAATTCCAGTAAACACTTTACTTCAAAACAAATTAAGTGCAAGCCCATCTCAGCAGCAGTTTGATACTTTCTTCCTTGAAGTACAGCTGGCTTAAACATGAGAATAAATGGCATGCACTTTTTTTTCATTTGAACTGCTGTTAAAATGCGTTATGATTTGGACACTTTATACACAACAACATCTGTTTCATAACAGTGACAGCCAGCCAACTTTGGAAAGGAGTTGCAGCAGAGAATACTGCCGGTGGAAGGAAAGGGCGAGGCAAGCGAGGCAAGAAAAGAAGAACGAGGGATCTCAATAGAGGCCAGATCCTTGGCGAAGGTAAATTCATGAAATAAGCAAGAGTCCAGAAAGAATTGATTATTCAAATCAGTCCAAATAATACTGAACCCAGATGTTGATAGGATATGAGCCAAATCGGGGCCATTGAGAAGCGAGAAGGAGCACATATACATCCTCTGGAGCAGAGGTTTGTAAACTTTTTGCCATTACACCTCCCTTTAGTGTAATCTTAATATACACACCTCCCCTAAAAATCCAAACACCAAAATGAACAATGAGAACAATACAATGAAACTTTGGGAAGGGTGGATTTATTGAAACAACGTAAGGGAGGTAGATCTCACAGTTTGGGAAACCCTGCTCTAGAGAATCCTGTCATTACAAAAGTACAAAGGCCCAGAGCAGATTGATCAAATACCAGTCATATTAATTGCCAAATGTTAATTAATTGGAATTAATTAATCCCCCAAACAGTGAGGTGGTAGTCTAGGAGGTGCAAGATAGCTTACATAGGGGAGATCGCTGTCTCTTTGGAGTGGGAAGGTCCTGGGTGTGTCTGAGAAGCGACAATGGGATGGGGGAGTTATCATTGGTATCCTCTCCAGACTCCCTAGCATCTGCTGCCTGAGCTCAATTGTGGCCTCACTCTCCTAATAGTAGGGTCAGCCACGTGAGGAGGAATTGTGCTGCCTGAACCCCAGCAGAAAGACTGTTCTTAGGAGGTGAGGATATACTGCAATTTCTTATTGCAGAATCCACATAATTAATAATAGAGTGTATTTATAACGGTTTCCTTGGGGTGCTGAAAATAGCCAAAGGGAGTAGTAATCAGAATTTATTTCAGGAAATTTGTTTTCTAGTTGTATAGAAATGACTCCTGGTTGGAAGAAAGGAAAATATGGAAAAATATTGACTCACTTTCAGTTGTTAATTCAGTCATAGGTTCTAGACAGTTGGATTCTCTCCTTTTATCTATCTTACTAAAAATATTTGAACTTTTGGAAGTTCTAGTTAGCCAAAATTGTCTTACACTTTTTTACAGTTTTAATCTTTAATCTTTCTCCACTAAATAAGATGCCATGATAAGTTGTACATATAAAATGAATGAGCCATTTTCCCATGGACATGAGCGTTTGTTTTGGAAAGCTGATGAATTTTAATGCAAAATATTCATTTTGTGGCTTCTGATATTTTGCTCTGGGAAGTGTAGGTTGGAAGTATCTAAATAATATCCATGATGGGAATGTTTCTCTACTTACTTTTGTGTTGATATGTTCAGGATCTTTCGGTTTCCTTTGGCCTGGCCTCAATGCTCCATTGGTGGTATCTGGAAAAGTTCAAGCCATTAGTCAGAGAGATGAAGAAGAGCAGAAGACACTGCAGTTAGCAAAAGCTGAGGAACAAATAAAAATCGACCAAAAAAGGAAAATGAGGATTAAGAAGGAAAGAGGTTGGACTGGACGATCCTGGGGAGGTGTCAGTTTAGGATCTCCTGATCCTGGTCCCAATGGAGGTGAGATAACTAAGGAAAGAATGAAAAGTGTGTTCTCTAGAAACAAGGTATCTTTAGTGGTTTCATATTCTGCTGTATTGTATACTGCTAACACCAAGTTATCTGTATAAATGGAAGGCCATCTAGGAGAATAGATACCAGTAAAAAAAAAAACCTAGTTTTGGGGGGAAATTGTTTCCTTGCTATAAGAGGAAAGGATGGAAAGATGCATGAAATACTCCACACTATTATTCAGGCTACATATTTGCTACATGGATTTTGATCATATCCAATAACTGCAAACATTTATTAAAATACATTGGAAAAGATTCAGAATACAGCTCAGTTGCCATGTTCTACCAAGTTGTTATGGGAATTTAAAGTTATGTACTGTCCAAAAATTCAAATTAGTGTCCTGTAATCTCAGTGAATTCTGATTGCAAATTCCCCACTTTCCCAGTGACTGTGGGAAGAATTGAACACCCAAAGCAGAGAGAATTGCAGAGAAATGGGCTCAGTATAATTTGCCTTTGGTTCCCTTTGAAAACAATTTTACTGAAAAAACCAGAGTACAGTTAGAAATATTGTCTCACTCATTTCTAAATAAATATCCTTTTGTAATGTTGGCACAATAAAAGTGAGCGTTTTTAGCCTGGCTGTTTGTGTTGCGTTTAAATTCTGTCTGATCTGTGCATGATTGCTTAGTCAGGTAATGCTTAGTCAGGTGAATAAGGCTTTATAATGCTGGCTGGGGAATTCTGGGAGTTGAAGTCCATACATCTTAGAGTTGTCAAGGTTGAGAAACACTGCCTTACTAAATAGACGTTCCAGTTCATTAGTGTCCTATTTATGGCTGCTTGAGCTGTTCATATTTGTCCTGTGTTAGAGGATCAGCAGCATTCACCTGGAACACAGGCCACTGATGTACCGCTATGAGCAGGTATTCCAAGACAAATGTTTGTTTGAAGGCCAGTTCCAACATCTTTGTAATTAAGTGTACTTCACATGACTTGATCCCACATAGGTCTAAATGAGATGAGGTGCAGCTTAATTGCTTTTGGAAAATAATACGGATACTGTATGTGCTGTATATCACTGATACATGTCTCCTTAACTGACAGAAACATATGACGATTTTGATAGCAGAATAATTGAGGTAAGTGTTTTTTTTATTACAAATGCAAACTTACAAGTCTTTAAATATAAAAGCAGTGTTCAACATCCAGTCTTAATTTTATTCCTTTCATAGTATCTCTGTAGCAGGCCCGTGCAACTTGTAGAGGAAAAAGGGCCCCATCGATAAATTAAAAATTATCATGGGCCACAAAGGAACGCCTGGCGTGCCAATCAGCTGTTTGGCCGCTAGCAGAGTGGCAGAGGCAGTGAGGCCTGGAGACATTGGAGGTGCTTGGCAGTGTGTCTTTTGGGGCAGTGGCAGCGAACGTATTGACTTTTTAAAAACCGCTGGGGGGCTACACAAGGCTGCCTGGTGGCTGCATGTTGTGTGGGCCTATAGTCTATAGGAATAGGAATTTGGCAGACCAGTGGATTCTGAATAATGTATTACAACTGAAAAATAAAATGTGCTGTTGTTTTTTATATTGACTTCTGTGCCACAGCATCATGGTCAACAAAAACTAAGATTGATGTTGAAAAACAAAACTCTTCAATATAATTTGAAGAGAGCATTTTTTAAAATAGGGGATATTTCTGATCTATGATGAAAAACGGATAAAGTTAACTATTAGGTTAACCACACAAAAGTGAAAGAGACAGAAACAGACTCTTCTCCAGATACTCTGCCTTCTATCCAAACCCAAAAGAATGCTGGAACAAAATTATGTAAAAGGAGGTTGGGACCACTTTTTGTCTTTCTGCTTTTGAAAAACATTAGGCATGTTGCTTTTTTGTCTTAATAGTACTTTTATTCATTAGGTGTATTAAATCTGATATGATACTGAGTGGATTTGGGTTTGGGATTATGTTCTTGCATTTCTGATTTCTTGTTCTTTTCTCTTCCCAATTTTGTTCCATGGTTACTCTTCTCCAGTGCCTGTAACTCATAGGGCCTTTGTAGCATTCTCTTTCATTCTTCTCATAATTCAGATTTCTACTGAACAGGAGGCAGATGTTCAGCAGGATTGCCTTCTAAATTCCTCATACTTCCCAGCCTTAAAACAACCAGAGTTTTAGAACTGACCACATCTTACCTTCCTCTCCAACAGTCCTATGATTTTGTCTGATCTCAGTCTTGACTGTTTATAAGCTTATTATAAATAATTCGTGGATTATTGTTTACATATCCTTTGCTGATGTTTTACATATTCCTCAGGACAGGCAAACATGCCTGTTTGGGCTTCCACAACTTTTGTCGTCTCCTGGTTTTGCATCAGTTCACCATTTTTTAAATTAAAAGTCAGCATAAAAATGTGTATACTGCTTTGTGTACATTTCCCTCTTCAACTACATTTTTATTAGAGAACTGCACTACAAAATTCAGAGAATTGTAAAGACTGAAGGAGAATTTCTCTTTCATCCCTACCTACCCATATTGAATACTTTCTGCACTTAAAATTACAGTAGTCTAAATTATTCTTAGAATCTTGAAGCATTAAACATTTCAGTGAGTAATTACCTATCTCTGCCTGCCCATCTATTTAAGTTACTAAAATAGAATTTCATGGGCCATTTCACATATCTATGATGAGGCCAACCCAGGATCATTTTTAATAGGGATATGCAATCAGACATACCTCCTGTCTGATGTACATACAATATTTACAAACTCCCGCATGTCCACAAAAGCTAAGTGCTTTTGCTACTAGTATCTCTTTTTTTAAAAAAATTAGGAAAGACAGTAAGGCTTATGCTTCAGAATTTATAAAACATCTTGCAATTTTTCTGAACCTTTTTAGTAGCTCCTCTGGATTTTTCCTCCTCTAGCTACACCCAGTTTTAATTGTACATATGGAACTAACCATGTATGGTAGTTACCAAACAACTGGATCCAATGTTAAATCTTTTCCACTAGCATAGCAATTTTGATTTCTTGTTACTTTGTAGAGATATTCCTACAAATAAATTGAATTATAAATCTGTGTGCTAAAGTCTGAATTTTAAAACAGTGCTGGGATTTTCCACCAACATTATAAATATACTTGATATTCAAGAGGATTTAAAATATTTTAATTTAGGTCCCCCATTCTGCAGAAACATAATTCTTAGCATTAGTAATACCCAAGATTCAGTCTCTAAGTAGTACACTGGAGCATGTGGGAGCATAAATAAATTGCCTGTCTGCAACTCTTTAAAGCAGCCATATCTTTTCCTAGGATCCCACAGCTTCAATCTTGATCATGTTGAGGCTAGCAGTTAATGGGCTGAATCTGATTTTGCTGCAATTGACACCCTTTTCTCTTCTTGACCATCTGTCTTATGGTCAGGTGTTAAGTAGATGAAATAAAATTAATAAAACACCAAAATGCTGCACGGGTCACAGAGGATGGAAGAAATTCCTACCTCACTTTTTATTTTCCCCCTCCTAGGCCACAAAGGAAATAAAAGCATGGGTTTTCAATTATTTTTGTGGAAGAGAAAGCAGACTAGAATAAGTGTGCCATAATGTATTGAGTAGGGTAGTTCAGAAGCAGGAGCTAGAGACAACTGTCTCCTGACATTGTTTCCATAGATGGCTTCTTGTTTCATTCTGATGCAGCTCTGAGTCTTAAAAGACTAATAGCCTTTGATAGATCTATACTCTGTGAATGGATCCAATCTCCTTCCAAACCCATCCAAATCAGTGGCCATCACCACATTTTGTGGTAATGAATTCTACAGTTTAAATATGTGGTACTGAAGGATTTATTTATTTATTTGTTTGTTTGTTTGTTTGTTTGTTTATTTTGGTCTGTCCTAAATCTCCTTCCAGTTAGCTTTACTGGAGAACCCCTGGTCTATCAAGAAGGGAGAAAAACATTCCTCTGCCCACTTTTTCTGTTGTCTACATGATTTTATACACTGTGATCATGGCCTGAACATTTGTCTTTTCTCCAAACTAAGGAGTCCCAAATGTAAGTTTCCTTCATAATTAAGATACTCAAGTCCTCTGATCCTTTCCCCAAGTTTACATATTCCACTAAGGCAGGATCAAGCAAATAAGGTAGAGTTTGTGGTCAGCCTTACTTTCTTCCAGTGGGAGCAAGCGAGTTTGGCAGGAAACAAAGACCAAACACATAAACTATTTTAAGTAAGTATGCTTTGAAAAAATGATCACCATGCCCATGCAGGTGCGGTTTTTCTTTAAAACAAATACAAAAAACAACCATTGGTACCAGTGGGGATTTTTAAATTACATACCTGACTTGGTGATCCTCAGAGGAAAAAATTGCTCACACAAGCCTTTTTAAAATTATTTTTACTGTCGCTTGTTCAATCTTAGCTCATAGTTAACATCAACTGCATTCCATTGGCAGTCTGCCCAGCACAGCAGTTACTGCTTATTTTTATCCTGAATTGTTTGGGAGCAACAGAAAAAGACCCCAGGTTTAGATGCTATGATAAATTATTCCTTTCTTGTCTCTTTTCATCACACATGTAAAGGGTTGAATAAATGAACAGGCTGAATATTTATTAGTAGTTATCTGGAAGTTGTTTATTTCTAGTAAGCTGCATCATGTGCAAATATGAATGTCACAGACCCAGATGCATTTGAAGGCTGTCCCAATTCATGCAGTTGCTGGCTTCCTCTAATGCACCCTTGAAGTAACGTATGATGACAGGCTGGGAGAACCTAAGTGTGATATTTAGACTTATGAGCGATAGGAGCATGGAGAGAAAAGGTATCAGTGTTAAATTGTTCTGTGCGTGAACTCTGTATATCACTTATCTTCTCTCATGCAGTGTGTTTTCTTGATATCAGGTAGTTTTAACCATAGGACTGTACTGTTAAAACAGTTCTGTAGAAAGCTTTGCATACCTCAGGTCTAAATCAAGTATTGAAAGTGCCTTTGGTTTGAACATCAGTGCTATACAAAACCTTTTGTTGTGTTAGCAAAGTACATCTCTGAATCTGCTGCTAAGGAAGCAAACAAGCAAGCCAACCCAAAGGTAGTCCTTGGCTTATGACCACAATTGGGACCAGAACTTCCGTTGCTAAGCACTGTGGTCATTAAGTGAGTTGTGCCCAATTTTATGACCTTTTTTGCCATGGTCATTAAGTGAATCTGGCTTCCCCCATTGACTTTGCTTGTTGGAAGCCCCTGAGAAAGTCACAAATGGCAATCATGTGACCCTGGGACACTGCCACAACTGTAAATACATGCCAATTGCCAAGCACCCAGATTTTGATCACATGACTGCAGGTACACTGCAGTGGTTTTAAGTGTGAGGACCAGTCATAAGTCACTTTTTTCAGCACCACTGTAACTTTGAAAGGTCATTAAACAAATGGTCATAAGTTGAGGACTACCTGTAAGTCCTTTGGAAGGCATAGGGTAGCTGGTTTGAGGGCCTCCCCACATCATCTGGCCATGTACAAGTAAGAACATAAGCAGTGCTCTTCTGGAGTAGATCCCTGTCCCATCTAGTCCAGCATTCTGTTCTCATAGTAGCCAGCCAACTGCACAAGGAAGTCCACTAGTTTCCCAGCAGATGGTCTTCAGAGGCAGTCACACTGCCATCAAGACTAATGGCCATTGATCCCTTTATCTTCCATTAATTGGTCCAACACCTTTTTGAAGCCAGTCTACGTGATAGCTGACACTGTATCGCGTGGTAGCGAATTCCAAAATTTAATTACTGCATTGTATAACAAAATTTCCTTTTGTCTGTCCTGATTCTTCCAGGATTCAATTTCAATGGGTGACCTCTGGTTCTAGCAGCTTCTCCTCCATTTTATCCACACCATGCATAATTTTGTACACCTCAAGTAATGTCTTTATTCCCTTCCTGGGAACAGGTATTCGGGGTCAGGGATCTCCCCAATTTTTCTTCTGTGAAGACAGAAATAATTCATTCAGCTTCTCTGCATTTTTTTTCTGTTGGGATTGGCACCAAAACAAAAGTGCTTCTCCTTTTCCACAGCCCTGTGGAGCATGCAAGAATGAAGAACCCCTCTTACTCTGCGCCAGAACTTTGTTCTATTGTGTTTAGAAATGTGATTAGTAGTAGCAGTGGAACTTTCTTTCTTTCTTT